ATCATAACAATATCATATATGTAGATAGTTTATTTTAACAGCTATAAACAATAAATATTAGCAACAAATCACCCTTCAAGCATCAAGCCCTGCCTGCATCTCGACCTCCGTCTTGACAATCTGACACCCTTGCCATCCAACGTAAAATGAGTATTACATTTAGTGTCGGATTATCGAGTAATGACTGTATATAAATCTGCTTGTAACTCACTGTTTGCATTAACTTCTACAACAGAGACAAAGAGTGTAAAGTGAGCACAACCCATAGAGTCAAGGCAGTCTTGTTTTTTTTTGGAAATATGCCAGATTGAAATAAACTCTTCAATAGGTCCAGTAAAGAGTCATCAGTGTACAGCCACTGAAGCCACATCCACAGCACTATTGATTCCACTATCACTGTAGCATGAGCAATAATACACAGCTACAGGTACAACAAGCATAGCCTGGTATTGCAGCTGTGGTCACAGCCAGTGGGTATATACTGTCACAGCTGGCTGTTTGAAAGGAGGAATGAGCAATAAATGCATATTGTACAGCGTCACATCATCTCCCCCTTTTGTAACATTAATAGAGCGTTTCTCTAAACTAGCAATGTATTATAATTTGCCTGGATCGCTACACTATGGACAAGGAAATGTACAAAACTTGATACAAGGTAAAGCAAAAACAGAATACATTTCCTACCATGAATATCTTGGAGCTCTGCAGTATACCATATAGGCAAGATTTGTGGGAAATATGAAAATACAATATACTGTGGACTGTAATATGTAAACACTAGTGGAAAACTAAGAGTGGAAAAGCTGTACACGGGAGTACAGGCGCTTGTGTTAAGTGGCTGCCGAAGTGTTAGATTAAGGTCACATTTTGTCTGTGTAAGGAAAAAAAAGAAGACGTTTGATTAGACAGGGAAGGGGAGATTTGTCCCATACATATTTACTGTAACAATAGCCTTATCCTTACTGGAAACAGCAAGACAGCAAGAGGAGAGACAGTGACAACAGTGACAGCAACAGACCAACTACTGTGAATTTGTGTGTGTGTGTGCGTGTGTGTGTGTGTGTGTGAGCCTAGTCAGTCTGGTATATCTTCAAATGAGATCAGTGCTTATTGACTGAACTCTCTTATCTCTAATCTGTGGGGTAAATTGCCTTGGTTGGTGCTTTTCTTCACACTCCCCTTTCTTCCTGCACTACTGACTCCCCTCTTTACGATCACATCAGACACAACAGGCACAGATAGCTATTTACTGTTGGCAGAGTTTGTGTATGTGTGCGACTGGAAGAGAAGGACTGGGACTGGTGGCTTACTGAATGCTTGGGTGTATTAGGAGCGTTACCTGTGTTGTTTTAATCATAATGTCAGAGCTGTGCAGAATGTATGTGTGTGTGTGTGTGCATGTTGTTGATTACTTTGCTGACGTAACTGACAAGATTTTCTGATGTTAATGAGACAATGTGGAGTTTCTGGTCAGTAGTGGGGCCACAGAGCAGTGTTTTGATGAGCTGGTTTTCATTTTCCTAATTTTTCCACTTATGCCATTTTCCCTTGGGACTATTATTTCTTAAGGACTTTTTGTGATTTAAAAATGACTCCCTCATATCTGTCTTACTATTAATAGGCTTCCACATAAAAACTGCTGAGACTGATGAGAGACAGCAAAATGTTTCTCAACTCACACTGCTATGCATCCATCTTTTCATCCCTAAAAAAAATCTTCTGATGGACATGAGTTTGCTCTTTTAGTGAATGAATGGGTCTTTACTGTGTAGCAACATGAGCCTCCTGAATTTGGACCTAAAATGCCATCCGAATTTTCATTTAAAACCACAAGTACGAGATGTTGATACACATTGATATAATATTATCACAGGTCCTGTGTGTTTAATATGTAATTTGAGGTGGATGTTTTACTTCACTGATTACAGACATGGCAGATTCACAAGGGATTAAGGTCACGGCCAACCCTTTGCAATTATTACAGCTTACTAGAGACCCTAAGGTAATACTAGGGCTTCAGATCTGCACAAGCGGCGCCACTCTGGGGCCTATTTTCCTAAGTTTCAAACATGCAAGAAATTACTCTGAAGATGAGTTAATTACCTTTGACATTAATTTTGACAGATTTAACTAATCAAAAGAAACAGCATCCTTGTGTTCAATGCATGACACTGTGAGATGACTGCCGGGCTCACATTGCATACAAGCAATATTTGACATTGCTACTGTTGATAAGGCCCCTGTACACTGTAGCTCATACAAAAGAGTTTTACCACAAATATGGATCAGAGAACTTCTCTTTGCACTGGTCTCCCTGCTCTTTCATCCAATGAGAGGGTCTAGGACAGAGGCACTTGATGTACAAAACATAAGTTAGACATGGGTTTAGATGCCTAAGAACGTACACAGAAAGTTTGGAGGGAGGTTGCTGGTAGAGAGCTTTTTTGCTTTTTCATATTTTTTTCTTTTTACATGTTTGCCTCTATTGGACAGTAGACTGTGAGAATGCTGTTTTCAGGAAGGAGTCTTTACCATAATAAGGGCTCTATTTTAACTGTACAAGTGTAATGACAAAGACAAATGAATAGGTCTTCTGTGCTAGGACTGTGAGGCTGTCTCTAAGCGCACCTACTATTTTAATTCATTTAGGTGCAGCAACACAAAGTAGAAAGGGATTTGCTGAAGTGGGATAGAAATCGGAGGGGATTTACTCTTAGCCAGTCTCATCACTGGTCTCATTACTCTGAAACTGCTGTGCCAATCACTGACGCATAGTAACAGCAGTGAAATGAATGGAAAGAGATTCTTGAGGAAACTATATTCTTGTCTAAATAGGGCAGAGGAACATGAGCTGAACGCACTCAGATTAACATAAATAAATTGTCAACAACAAAACACAATGATAGAACCACTATTTCATTTTTCTTTTTTCCTTATCTCATGTTAAAATGGTCAAATCAAAGTATTTGCACTTTAATGCATTCAAAGAATTAAACAAGAAATGCTACTTTTGCTCAAATAAATGTTGGAAAGGACGCAGAGACATACAGGGTTAATGAGCCGCTGTAATCCGATGTCTCCCACATAAACACAGAATACAGAGTCAAAATAGAGCCATCTGGTATGTGTAGCATTAAATTGGGTTACTTTGTCGTAGTTTGGTGTGATTTGCACATGATTCAATAAAGGTATCAATCGTAGTAGTAGTACATAATGCTGTTATGTTCTGGTGTGGCACTATTAAAGTCAGAGGCTGCAGATTTATCAACAAGTCCTGCTGCCTTGCGGTGGCTGCAAAGATTTCATGAACTGACTTTAAGAAACATGAAACCAACAAGAGAAGCTGGAATGAGAAACTTTTCATCCTTTTCATACTCAGGAAAGGAAACATGAAATGAGAAGGACCTAGCTGGTTCACAGTGATTGATTGTTTAAAATAAAATACCTTCAAATCTATAGTTGTATAGCCAGCTTTAGTTTTAGGGAGTGCTGAAAGGTGGAACATCTAGCAGCTAAAGACCTGCCTTGGTTTCACACCTGCCCACATCTCTACAAACAGATCTGGTGATGCTAATGTTGTTTTCCACTGCTTTTAATTGACCAGCTTTATTTTAGAAGGTACATGTTTCTATTTTTCTTATTATCTGCCTTTTATGCTGTTTTAGTGAATTAGTTTTAATGACTAGAACATAAGCAGCAGCTTTAACATAAATAAGAGAAAAAAGTATTTAAACTAAAGTAAAAACAATATTAAAAAACAATTTTCCACTGTTAAAGATCCATGCCAGTATTCTTGCATGTGTAAAAAGAAAATGTGTGATTATTGCGTTTTATGTACAGGATGTGAAGAAACATGAACCATGTGAGGATTTGGTGTGGAAATAAGCTTTTTTCCTTTAAAGCCATTCAGCAGTAATGGGATACCTCCTGCCTCTGGCAGTTTGTCAGTGATCAACTGCTGCCCATTTTGCAATGGCTGCAGTTGCTCTTGCTTCACACTGTACTATAACATCCTTTGCTGGTGCATTCAGATTCTGTCATATATTATACTCTTCCAGTCACCTTCTGGGTTCATAATGCATCACTTCCTGGTAGCCATTTTGATACAGAATCACCTCTTTTGAGCTGAACAGCTCTGAGTCCATTTAAGTTAGTATGAAACTCAGCTCCAGTTATTGGCTCCCTTAAATGGAGCCACCTCTCTAATGGGGTGGAATGGCACAATTAACTTGATAAATCCAGTCTAAAATGTATTGCTGAAGCTAGAATTGTTTAGGATTAGTGATCTCAGTGTATACAGAGAAAAACAATAACCTCTTAAGATCCAAACTCTTTTTTGATATGCATTTTTTAATTTCTCTTTGCTATTTGGGCTTATTGGAACCTGATAAGTACAAAACTAAATATCATCAAAGATGGTAGTGCAAGTGTCCACACATGTTGCCATAAGGCCCCAGTTAAGCAGAATTAACTACTGTGGTAACATAACCCAAAATGTGGTGTCCACGCATGTGGACAGCAGGTCTTAAGAGGTTAAATTAAAAAATACCAAAAATTGGGAAATTGGTTAGAATTAAATCTAGTGCAAAAGGCCACTCCAAAGGAGCTGAGTTACTGTCCAATAACTTAAAGAGGACAAAAGTAAGAAAGCAGACTAAAAGTTTCCTTTCAATTCCAGTAAACTATAATTCAATTTTGTTCACATTGACTACCATTCTCTTTTTCTACTAATAACCATTTCAATGCAAATATATTCAAGTCAACACATTATAACAAAGAGTTCTTTTCCAAAATAAGTATATTACATCAATAAATGACAACTCTGTAAATGGGAAAGCAACTTGAGAATGGTTTCTCGGTTTCATGGTCACATTTGCCACCTGGAAGCTTTTTGTTTCTCTTTTTCCATGAAGTGGGTGAAGACTGTTAAGTGATTTCATTTGCTGCATTTTTTTTTGTCTGTTTTGCGGGGAAGGAAAGGGGGCGTGTATCCCTCTTTTCTAGTAGGGAGTGAAGCGACTGCACCCTCCTCTGTAAAGGCTAGCCTGCAACATCAAAGATGAAAAAGCTCCAATCAGTATTCAGTGTAGAACGTTTCCTTGTAATATTAATATTAAAATAAACTCTTCTCTTTCTTCCAAAGCAATTTTCCTCCCTTTTTTCCTGTGACTGTCTTTAATTGGGATTTTTTTTTTTGCACAAGATACATGTAGTTAGAAAATTTGTGAAGTGAGGGAATGCAGTGGTGTCTGGCCAACGGCTTCATGTACCTAAGTATAGATTTAGAGGGTAAATAGTGTTTTTTTAAAACTTGTTAGCATTAAACCAAGTGCGGACATCTATTTAACCCATTTTATTATCGTCGTTCCATATTGACCTGCTATTTCATGTGACATGTCAATGATTAAGACCTTTGATGCTTAGCAGCTAAAACTAACTCTAACCTGCTGTCATTTGTAGCCTGAAAATCTTTAGGACAAAACGTGAAAGAGGCAGATGAGATGGAATAAGCAAAAGGCAACCATTAAAAATATCCAGTAAATACATTTCTTTAAGTTCTAACAACTCTGATAGAACAGTGGCTCTGCCAACAAGAGACAGGTTACAAACTAAGTGAGGTTTTTAGATCCCAGCAAAAACTGACCTTAGTTGTACTCATGTAAAGCTTTTCTATACTACTTTCAGCCATTGATAACTACCTTTAAACCGTGAGTTGACATTAAACACAATGACAGTGCTAAACAATGTGAACCACTCTAATGGCAGAACAACCATCCTTGAGTTCTCCATAAGTTGTGATTGTTATCTACAAAAATGAAAAATACTGAACAGTTTAAACTTTACTAACTAAAAATGCTGACAGAATATAAAATGCAGAACTCAACTATGAGGGCAAATTGTGGGCCAACACACACAACATCATTTTACAAAACCTCAACTGACTCTGCAGGGGCAAAGAAAATAATAAGCCTTTATATTCTCTGTCATTTCTGAAGACCTGAGTATGTAAGACACGTTTAACCAGTAATAATGATCAGTAAACACGATCACTGTTAGTTTAAAACAAGAAGAAGGCTGTAGGGTGTGTTCAAGTTTGTAGCCAACTTAAACAAATAATTTAACATTAACCTAAGTAAAATGCTGCATACTCTCTCAGCCCATTCTCTGCTTTTTTGTGTGTTAGTCAGACAATTACCATCATAAAGACTGGTTGCATTTGTAGCTCAGTGGCCAAAGGACAGGAGTCAGTTGTGCTACGAGCACAAATTAGAGCAAGAATCAAAATACAGTGCCGTCTCTCTTTTCGTTGTATAAAAAAGAGAATGGATTCTGTATCGAATTGTGATGCCAAGAATCACAATTAATTCAAATGAAGAGATTGCTAAAGATTTACACACCTATCACCTAGATAGAAGTCTGACTTCTGCATACCTGAATGGAGAAAAAGAGAAACTAGCACTGTTTTCAAACCGACTCCTTTGCCAGACTAAAGTGTCAATACTGAAAATAATTACATTTTAAAGTAAAGATTAAGTTCTGTCACAGGCTTAACATTTTAGTAGGCCTAATTTTATCATTTTAGTATTTCTCTCTTTCTACTGTATCTGTGGACTAGTATGGTTAAAAGAGCATTGCACGATAGCATTGTTGTACTCCTGATGCACAGTTAACCCTTACATATTATTCAGGTCGAATTTGACCTGTTTTGACATTTGGTGGCAGTGAAAACACCTTAAATGTCATTTTTTGAGCCTAAACTTTGATGACTTTTCCTAAAGTGACACAAAATAAATACAATAATAAAAAATAAAGATAAATAATAATATGCACCTGCAAGCTCAAGCAATGAAATATAACAAAATATTCCAAAAATTAACAAAATAGAATTCACTAATTACGAGTTAACAAATGTCCAAACAAAGTTTAAAAGAGGGGTTGAAGTCCATAAGGTTATAAAGGTGCCTAAGCTGCCATTTACATGACTAAGGCTATGGCAGCAAAACTTAGCGTGGAAGAGATCTTCAAAGTTAAGGAAGCAGAAAGTGATTTGGAAGAGGATGTGTCAATGTAGGAAGACAACATGGAGAAAACTCTGATCACAGCCCCTCTGATGAAAATTACTCTCAGGGAGAGGAGCAGGTATGATGGCAGTAAAAATGTCATTCAAATGACTCCAGGACCCACAAGACTGGCTACTTTCCATGCCACATTCAGCTTCAATAAAATAGATTTAAATTATTATGGCTATTATGTACATGATATTGTGTGAGTAGATAATTTTCTCCAAAAACAAGAGGTGTCACAGAAAAAAAAAAAAAAATCTCCCTGCTGTCAGAAGCATTTAGTAAGGATTATTCATCCATTTATTAATGTCAGATAAGCTATTTAAACATTCTAAATAGATCTGTAGTTCAAAAATGTGTATACTTGGGTTGTGAAGGAATAAAATCTGACCAGTAGGTAAGGGTTAAAAATGGTCACAATTAACTTAGCTGAGCCAGAAATTTTGTTTTTCTTCTTGTTCTTTGACAAAACATGGTGCCCATACTATCTACATAGAAATTTGGCTATAGACAGTATAATAGGAAAATAGTCCCTGGTGGTGAGGTCACTTTTTTCTACCTCCCCAGCCCTATAGTTTTTTTTTTTTTTTTAAGTTTGTAGTCTTTAGCCTCAGTCAATACTGACTGAAGTGACAATGGTCATTCATCATTGTGCAAACTTTGTCCAGGGGATTGGTAGAAATGATATTCACTTTTTCATGAAAAACCTGTAAAAAACAAACAAAAAAAGCTGAGCATTTTCAGAAGATGAAGCCATCAAATGCCTCATGGTAGCCATTTCACTATCCAGCCCATGTCTGTGGCATGCTTGTTGTGTACAATTTTCAAAGCTTAATTCTTCTGTTCATGAACAATTCACAATACAGTGAATGTTAAAAGCAGAACAAGATTCAATATAACTTTCCTAGCTTAAAAGATTGGACATATCCAACACCAGCCGACTGGAGATTGCATATGTGGTGCCAACTCAAATGCTTGTCAACAACAGTGTCCTCCTCGGTACACTGGCCTTTAGAAGTGCTGCCCCAGTGCACCCTTAGTATTAATCAAGTTCATTTGAAACATCTGAAAGGAAGAGGAATGGCGCAAATTCCGTTAACTGAGTTAGCTGCTGGTGCGACTATAAAGGAGAATTACGTTGCGCTCCAATGGATCATGAAGACTTCTGTTGCCATATCTTTGGCAACCCAGACATTCTATGCTGTCTTCTTGTTTCTGGTTGCAAATGCAGATACTGTATGACTGACAGTGAAAGCAAGGGAAATAGCCTTGGATCTGCTAGGACCCAGAGTCTTAGTAATTTCTCAAGCAGGAAGTATCTATGGTTCTTGTCAGTCCCATTGTGACCCAAAGCTCCTAAATGTCCAGTTGTGACACAAAAGCAGTAGCTTGGAGAGCATTGTGGTCAACTCTTAGACTTGCAAATTAGTACCGTCCTTGTACGTCCACATTGTAGCTGCAAGAAAAGCTGCCGAAGGAACGACAAATATTGAAAAGCCTCCTTAAAGTGCACAGCTCTGTGAAGGAGACAGCAAAGAATAGGTTCTACAACAACAATCAGACACGTATGTCTCTGAAATACATTTTTAAAGTCAACTTTAGTTTAATTTAATTCAATTTCATTTATCTTGAAGACTAAAGATAATAAATTCAGGAATCTCTGCATGTATATGTGTCTGGTCTTCACTCTTCTCTGCATTCATTCATCCTTATGACTTAAAACTTAGCAGAAGTATTGGCCGGTGAGAGGTTGCAATCCTGATCTCTGAGCTTCGAGACTTTCTGAATCAAAACTCTACATAGCATGCATACTCCCCCAAAGAATAGTGGCCTTATCGTGGTGGATGGGTTTGATTGTCCCCCATAGCTGGGAGCTATGTTGTTGGGTCAATAGCCCCAGTAGGGTCTCCCAAGGCAAACCGGCCCTGAGGGAGGGACAGGACAAATATTGATTCACACAACCCAGGTGCAGCTGTGGTCAGAAGGTCACTGGTGCCTGTCATGGTGGCAACCCAAAAACCCACTGGTGTACACGAACTTGAAGGAGGCTGTCAGGCTTAAGAAGGAGGCCTTTCAGGCCTGGTTGGCTCTTGGTTCTCCTGAAGTAGCAGACAGGTATTGGTCAGCCAAAAGAGCTGCAGTTGCGGCAGTTGTGGAAGCTAAATCTTGGTTGTGGGAGGAGTTTGGAGAGGCTATGGACAAAGAGTTTTGGTTGGCTTTGAGGAGAGTCTGACAAACCATTCAGCCTCTCAAGAAGGGGAGCCAGGGCTTGTCCCAGACTGTGTGCAGCTGTGGGGGAGAACTGCTGATCTGGACTTGGGACATCGTTGGGCAGTGGAAAGAGCACTTCAAGGAACTCCTTTACCTGGTTAAAACATCCTCTGCTGAGGAGGCAGTTTAAGAAGATGATGGAGGATGGGCTCCAATTATTGGGGTATCACACTACTCAGCCTCAACAGGAAAGTTTACTCCAGGGGGATGGAAGGGAGGTTCAGACTAATTGTCAAATCTTGGATTCAGGAGGCGCAATACGGATTCCATCCTAGGGTGTGTAACAGTGGACCAGCTCTGTATCTTTTCAGAGCTGCTGAGGGCGTCATGGAACTTTAACCACTGGGCTGGGACACGAGTCAGCACCTTCAGTTCAAGGCCATGGTTCTTGGCCAGAAATGGGTGGATTGCTCCCTCTGGGTTGGGCGGAGGTACTGCTTCAAACAAAGGAGTTTAGGTATCTGAGGATCTTGTTCAATAGTGACGGGAAAATGGAAGGTGAGATGGACAGGCGGCTTGTTGCAGCTTTGGCAGTAATGCAGGCATACCAGACCGTCGTGGTGAAGAGGGAGCTGAGCCGAAAGGTGAAGCTCTTGATTTACCAGACAATTTACATCCCAACCCTATTCTATGGTCATAAGCTCTAGGGAAGGATCGATAGAATGAGATTGCAGGTTCAATTGGCCAAAATGAGTTTGCTTGAGCTGGGAGTAGAATCACTGCTCCTTCAAGTCAAAAGAAACTAGTTGAGGTGACTCAGACATCTGATTTTGATGCCTTTGCAGATTCAATTGGCCAAAATTAGTTTCCTCCATAGACTGGCTGGGCTCAGTCTTAGAGATCCACAGGGAGCTAGGAGTAGTGTCACTGCTCCCTCAAGACAAAAGAAAACAGTTGAGGTGGATCTGACATCTGATTCCGATGCCTTCTGGGAGACATCCTTTGGAGGTTTTTCAAGCCTGTGATCCTAGGAAAAGACACTGGGGTAGATTCAGAAGTGCTATATTTTTTATCTGGCTTGGCAACACCTCGGGATCCTCCAGGAGGAACTGGAAAACGTTGCTGAGAGATTGATGTCTGGAATGACCTGCTGACACTGTGACCCAACCACAGATAAGTAGCAGAAAATGAATGAATGCATGGATGGATAGATGGCAAAACCTGCATGCCACATGATAATATGATATTGTGATTTCCTTTTCATGTTTCTGAATTCAACCATGAACCTGAACACTACAATGTTTGGTTCTTGATGCCTGGCTTGAGGCTTTTTTTGGGATGGCTCCATTTCTGAAAATGTTCAGGGCCTCCAACTGTACAAGTGTACCAAGTTTTATGCTAGTTTCATCAACTTTTACAAACTTACTTGGCTGACAGCTCCATCTGAAGACACAAATGACTTTACACGTCTTTCTTGATATATGCACCAGTACACCTCAAGAAATGTAAGACTGATCTTTAAAATCTGTGCAATCTTGCTTAAAGGTCTGAGCTGGATGATAGTTATGGCAAAACAAAATAATTAGGATATTGGTCTGTCAAGGTTACTAAATGATCTGCTTAAAGTCACGGAGAAATCATGGTTGCCTTTAATAAAAAGGTAAGTGTTATAATTTCAGGTCTGTGATGGGCACTGCATCTCACAGGTACACCCTATCTCGGCCTCCACATCCTTGCCATGGTAGCTACTTACACTATGAGTGGATTCATTAGAATTAGTTATTTATAGAAATTGTGGATACAATATTTCACTTATTCAACCCAGAACTCTACCTTTTGCAGTCATTCAGTTATTACTTTGATAGTTTGAAGTTTGCTCATATTAGGTTGTGTTTGTGGCTACAGTTAATATGAGGCATGCTAAAAACTATAATTAAGCAACTAATTCATAAAATGTATTAATTGGGTTTTTAAAAATACAACTCTGGAATTAAAATGTATACTTTGGGGTTTGGATTGCATATGGGAGGATAGGAAGAAAGGGAAGAGTAATTTGAGGAAAAAAGAGAAGAAACTATAGATCAATAAGAATAAAAAACAGGCCACTGTTTTAATTAAGTAAATGAAGAGGAAAAAATGGTCGAAATTAATGAAGGCTTTTAGCTAGCAGCTGCACTAAGGGGCAAGGGGGTGTTTGGGGGACACATGGGGAGCTGGTAGGGCTTTAAATTTTCATTACCACAAGCACATCAGCACTCAGCATCAACCTTCATTCGTGTGGAGTCGAAGATTCTGCACCAGAAAGCAACTCCATCTGCAGCAGCTTTGCCACCAGGAACTTTAATGCTACCTCTTCTCCTACTTTTTCTTCTTTTGTGGTGTAGTTTTTTTTCCTCTTTCTACTTTAGTCTCTCACGGCACACCAAAGTATGTACTAGATGGTCATTAATCTTTGGAGGAAGTCCCTACCCACACCCACAAAAGAAAACAAATTATACTCTCTGTTTCTGCCCCATCTTCTGGGGTTCTCTAAAAGACTTTTTCATCTTTGATGTTAGCTGCAAAGCTAGCTAAAAACAAACATTAACCATTCGACTATCTCCCCATACTAAATTTGAAGAGACAGTTTCCTGTAGGGAGGAATACTCAGTCTCAACTGGATTTAAAGCAAGTAGCTTCAGACCAATGGAATTGAAGGGGGATTGTGAGAATAACGCAATGTCCCTTTTTCATTTACTGAAGTGGCAAAGATTCATATTAAACATCAAAATGGATCTCTCAGAGGGAATCACAACTTCTAACAAACTAAAAAATAGGCTTTTCCTATATTATCAACAAAACATGTCAAAAATGATTTGATGTGAATTATTCATTGACTGTTTATAGTTATCATGTAGTTTTCCCATGTTTATATGAATAGTTCACTAGACCTCTTCTGTTGTACAAAGGTCTACAATAAAGTTAAATAACATTGTGCCCAGGTGCTGTCATACAGTATGTTAATATAGCATATTAATATAAGAAAACCGTGTTAGGATGCTGCACCAGAGCAGGTTCATTATGATACCTAATTCAATTTGGTACAACATTCAGTCAGCATTTAAGAAACAGGTAGCAGACTCACCATAGTGCCCACACTGTATGTGGCGGCAGGACCAATCGTATGGTGATAGGGGTCTGCTGTTGCATAGACTCTGCCATAACTACAAAAGAGACATAAGGCAGAAAATGTGTTTATTATGACAAGACAGTCGAAAACTGTAAATAAGACCTACAGTAGCATTACCAAGACGTTCAGAGAGAGAGAGAGAGAGAGAGAGAGAGAGAGAGAGATATTGTAAAGATCAGGGCTTGCATTTATCAAGCATGAAAACATATTTTCAAAAAAACTGTGCAGAACATCTCACTAAAATCTAAAATCATTCCTACCTCGAATTAGGACATGATTTATAAGCTTTATAAATGTGCCTTGACAATGCTTATTAAGCAGTGGTTTCCACCAACAATTCAGTTGCAATTACTTTCATCAAAGCAAGGCCAGATCAACTTGCCCCAGGGGGTAATTTGAATTGTGGGCTGTTTCAATCATCTTTAAATTGTATATATACCTTGCTACCTTTTAGTATAATTAAGATCCAAAAAACAGCAAACAACCGACTGCGCATGGCGCAATTATATCCAGAGACACAGACCATTCAGTATTCAAACACTGGAAATACTAGCTACCCCAAGTTTTCTGTGTGGGAGTTGCCTCATAATTATCTAATCAAATATATTTTGATGAAGGAAAATGAACCACAGACACTTGTCATTTACTGAAAAACAAAAGTGTTGTAAAAGTAGATCAAGCCTTCATGCATCCAGTTATATGTCATTTTACACTTCTGTTCTGGATGGTGTGATTGCACACAAACAAAAATTTGTTTTAATGTTATGGTTGTTTTTTACAATAAGCTCATTATTTTCAGTTTAGTCTTCTACATTTTTTTCCCCCCAATAGTGTTTCATACTGTCTTAGCCACCTGTTGGGAACTCCTGACAGTTTAGGACAACTTGGCGGCTCTGGTGGAAGTTTATGTACAATCAGGACAAAAAGTTGTACCATAACTCACTTTTTTGTAGTTTTGTGTCTATATACCACCACAATCAATTTGAAATTAGGTGCTGACTTTGAGCATTAATTCATATGGTTTAAGAAAAATGTCGAATTAGCTGGTAGAGAGCATGCCTAATAGAGCTGAGATCAGACGGTTAACCCAGCCATATCTTTGCATTAAGAAGGCTGTTCGTGGTATATTTTGGGTCATTATCTATCCATACTGTGAAGCATTGTCATGTTAGTTGTGTAGCATTTGACTGAGTATCAGCATAAAGTACAGCACTATACAGTCCAGAATTCATCCTGCTACTTATATCAGCAGTCACATTTTCAATAACCACCAATAGCCCAGTTCCATTGGCAGTCACAAATGCCATTGCTATACAACTGCCTCCACTATGTCTTACAGATGACGTCGTGTGTTTGGATCAGGAGGCCGTTCTTTCCTTAAAGAACGAGGCAGACATTTCCTTAGATGTTTTCAGGAAAAGTCTAATCATTTTTTTCCATTCTTGAATGTTTCCATTGGTTGTGTCTTCAGGTAAAACCTCTGTATTTACTTTGATGAAGCTGTTTCTTGATTGTGGACTTTGACAATGATATGCCTATCCCCTCCAGAGTGCTCACTTGGCTAGATGCTGTGACAGATTTTTCCTCTCTAAGGAAACACTTCTGCAGTCCTCCACTTTAGGCGCTTTGGCCTCTTGGTGTTGCTAAACTTATCAGTAGATTCTTTTTTGTACCAAATTGTTGTTATAGTTACGTGTCTAAAGTAATCTTTTCCTTTAATTTCATCGACACCTCTTTGGACCACATGTTGAGAGTTCCCATCACCAGCTATCAAATGAAAATTCAACACTTGTTTACCCTCAGACCTTTAATCTCCGAATACTTATAGACCTGCCTATATTTGAAGCTGTGGATTCACACTCAGAGAGACATTCTGACTTATTCCAAGAATATAAAACTATATGGATTCTTTAAACTTGTTTAAGTCAATGGGGAATTTAATCAGTTTGAAAAAACGGTTAATTGTTTCACTGTTACCCAACTCCCACCACCAGAAGTAAATCTTGTGTACGTTGGCTTTGATTGAACTTTTGGTAGTAGATAGGGATTGCTAACCAACCACAAAGAGTGCGTGAGACATAAGGGACTGGGTCGTCGATTTTTACTGGGGTCCTCGAGATCTATGATCATTTCCTCCTCTTACTAATACTAACGGCAGGCCTATGGGATGAAAATGCAATCGATGCCTCCCTATAAATGTATGTTGTAAAGGTGAGAGTGTGTGATTGCAATGATTTGTTTTACCTGTTTCAATTTATTAGAAAAAGTGGACGAGTGTTTTATCTTCCAGATGATGGGGAGAGAATGTGATAAAAGTAATGTCAGCCAGAGAGGAAAAAGAGAGTGAAAGATAAAAAAAAAAAGAAAATGGTAGAGTGATAAGAGTAGTAGATGGCTGCCGGGAAGAAGAAATAAGATTATGAGCAAAGAAAAAAAATGAAAAAAATGATCCTCTGGTGCGTGGAAATGGAGGCAACAGGCATAGGGAAAAAGGAAATACAGGTGTGTAAAAAGAAAATTTATTTAAGAGTAAAATACAGAAGTTTGGTGAGAGCTAGTAAATTTCTGATGGTGTCCTATAGCTTCCCCACTCCGACACAGTCTTCTTCCCCTCCCTAGCTACTCCTCCTCCCACGCTGCCATCTCCCCCTGTATCTCTCTCTGTCTGTCTTCTGGGGCTTATTTCCAGTCTTTTCACCAGCACTGGATTGGAACTAATCCCCTCCCTCAACACCCCTCTCTTTTCTCATTCCACCCCTCCACCCCTCTTTCTGTGATGCCACCAGACCACTTTATTTATGTTCCTTTCTTCCTGTCTTGTTTGTTTATTCTCCTCTAAAAGTAAAGGGAAGTCAGCATAGGTCTGGAGGGTAAAGATAAGAGACTGTGCCGGTACACTACCATGTGTTACACTATGTGTAACAGAGGGAGACCTAAGGAAAGGACAGTAATGGAAGCATACAGAGGAAGGAAGGAAGGAAGGAAGGAAGGAAGGAAGGAGCTCACGGTTGAAAAATATTCACAAATATTTAGTGTATATAAGTATACTCTTACACTTTAAGTGCCGCAATGAGCATGAACCACTCTCTCTGGTGAAATGTTATGGTATATGAGTCCCTAAATAAACACAAATAAACAGCATTACAGGGATTGTTGTGTGTTTAGATGGTGTGAAGAGCGTAGAGAAGGACAGATAGTTGTTTATATCGCCTGACTTTTTGTGGTGGAGATAAACATTTGAAACATGTATTCTATACTACCACTGATGAGCTAGTTAAAGACACTCTATGCAATCCAGGTGCAGAATTGCCATCTTGAAGTTCAGGTATTTTGCTGGTGGGCCAGTCTTTCATTTCCTGTTACATAGACTATAGACACAGATATTCAGTAGGTTACCGCAGCTGGAGAAATTTCTAATAGCAGGTGGCTATTGCCATCACAATTGAATAACTTATTATCTAGAATTCATGAAAAGAACCAAACATTCTTTACCAAAGCATGGATAAAAAAGAGCAAACTTGTAACTATGGTACAGAAAAGGAGAGCTAAGAAAAGGAAAAAAGCTTTGCTGGCTCATGCGGCAAAGTGTGCTAAGATCTAACATATTCATTTCACCAGCCTGCAGGCGATAATGAGGACAGTAGTGAAGAGGCAGAAACATCAGAGAGGGCTGAGCAGGGAGCAGTTGCTTTGTCATACTTACACACTCTGTACTGTGAACTTGGTCAATGAACTAAGTAGAGAACCAAACATTGTTGTTAACCTTAGGGTTCCAATGCTAGAATTCCACTGCATGTTAAATATGTGACTGCATAAACGTTCAGGCAAATTTACACTGAGTTTCTCTCAGGAGTTCAAGAGAATGTTTGTAAATGCTAGTGCCAGTGCTTAGGGTTCAAATGTCGTACCTCCTAAGCACCTGTTTGCTTTTCCACTGGCAAGGAGCCAAATTTGAGCCACGCCATATGTCACTGCATACGTAGCCGTTTATCGAACAAAGCTCGCGCCATACGGAAGTCCATCCAGTGGTCCAGACTAACTGTTTTTTCACTGGTGCGACCAAATTTCTCATTTGGTTGCACTTCCCACCTTGTCACAGGCAAAACATATGACTAACTGTACATTTTCTTATCGATAGACACTACAATTTACCAATTTTCCCCGAACGCCCCACATGGCAGGCTGCCCTAGCTGCTCCTTGGTGGCTGCGGTGCTCAGACAGTTGTGTGACCAAAAATGTTTTTAAAAAGAATAAAGTAGGGCGTTGTAATGTCAGATTTATCCAAGATGAAACCCATTGATTTTTTTCTCATGCGGTCTTTTCTATGACTAAACAGCGCATGTAGGTGCGCTCCGTTTTTCACGAGAAGCATAAAATACCACTTTCTAAGCTTAAATACAGCTCTACACAGACATTATAAAAGTACTGTTTTCCACCACTGTGGTGTTGCTGGTGGGACACAGTTGTGCCGGCTTTCAGTGTGCAATAGTTTGTGCAAAACTTCTCTGTGTCCTGGGACTCATTCCAGTACATTTGCGATCGGACCAGGGACGTCCTGGCAAAAAATGGCACAAATTGCCGCTTGTGTGTCCCATTCTGTGTTTCCATTGGTCTCAGTGGTCACGACAACCCTGTTCCCAGCCTCTGACGTAGTCGGTTCTTAGCTCTTGCCCAGCAAAGAGTTGGTGCTTGCTAAGTACCAGTTTTGAGAACCTGGAGCCGGTGCTTAGGTGGTGGAAACATAAAGAACTGGTGCTAAGTCAGGCTCTGGCTCTGAACTAGCACTGGAACCAGCTCAGTGGTAAAGGGGTGTGTGATGCTTAATGGCCTCCTGCAAGAGCTCATCTGTTTACAGTCGGCCTGGATGAACTAGGGCAGTGTCCCCGTATTCCAGTAGCTTATATAACACAGCTACACATTGTGCTCTCCCCCTACAGCACCTGTCTGACAGTGGCTGTAAAACAAAGGATCGGGCTTAGGTTTGTGCCACACTGATCAGTTTATAAAAGCCTTCATTGGCTTATGGTTATGGTTAACTCTACTTGCCTGTAGATCTGGACTTCACCTGCTTTAGTTGCCTCTTGGCAAAACAAGCACTCTTACAGGAACCGCTCTACCACTGAACGATTTGTCAGAGAAAACCAAACACACGTCATTTCATCACATTAGGATAAATCATCGTCCAATAACACAATAATTGAAATTTAATGTTTTTATGTGGTGTGTGCATGAAAAAAAGGATTAAAAATTTGTGTCCATGTACATGAATCAAAACATTAAAATTTGTGAGTATTTTACAAATGGCTGGGAGTCTGGGCGGGTGTTTTTAAAGACATAACTGAAGAAGGACAAGGTGAATATTATTGCTAATCCTTATTACCTTTCTCTTACAGTACTTGGTATCTATCTAAATTCACTGGTAGTCTAGTGTGAGTGTGTCTGCTTACACACTATAGAGAGAAAGAATTCAAGTGGAGTCTTTCAGTCCTCAGCTCACTGAGTCTGTATAAGACCTCTCTTATCCCACAATAAATAAGATTTCTCCACCCCCAAGCCTCTGCTCCATCTCCTCCCATCTCAACCTCACTGCCCCGGTTTGGCTTTAAATCAGGAGTCCTTAAAAAATAGAATGCAAGAGATACAGTAGAGGAGATGAAATGGGGAGAGGAGAATGAATAACGGGTAAGCGTGAGAAAGGAGGAGTGCGTGAGTAGAGAAAAAGAAAGCGAATAAAATAAGTCTTGGGGAGAGAGACATGCCCCCTCACCTGCTCTGCTCTCCTCCTCTGTTCTGTTAATAAGTCTCCCAAACATGCCGCTTGCTCCTCACCGCTGATAAATCTTACATTATCACAGGTCTACAGGCTCCTGCTGTGGCTGTTTCTTATCGGACTTGACATGCTCAATCTCCCTAAGATTAGCTCCCCAAGCACCTTCATACGCACACACCTAGGCAGCAATGGTAGTGGGTGCATGCAACATTCAAAAGACACACCCCCACACATGTTTTCCTATAAAAAACATTTCACTTGTGATCTGGAGGAATCACCAGCAACCTGCAGGCTTAGGCTAAGGAGAACAGCAGTCCCTGTCAGAGGAGGCCCAGGGCAGTGGCACAGACATTATGGTACACAGCCCAAGAGGTTGGTAGATTAGAAGTCAGGGGACAACAGGGAATGGTAATTGAAAGATGGAGTAGATCAAACTACTCTCCAATGCCTTTGCTGTTATTTTGCTCTTTGTATAACCTTTATTGTTCCACAGCTCTATGGCAAAATGTTGTCAGGCTCACCTGGTCACCATCCGTCCAGGTAAACCTCCATGAAGATTTTGGGGTTGTGTGACGTGTGACAATTCTAGTTCAATATAAATTAGGCACATCTGTCAGGTTGTAAGGTTACACTATACTATCAGTGACTGTTAAACTAAAAACGATTACACGCAGAAAATACTGTGACAGTGAAAGTTAAATGTTTTCAAATAGTAAAATGTCACTAATAAACATCTTGTCAAGGCCATATGTCAACGTTGTATCAAACTACTGCAAATAAAAACATCCTGTGAAGAGTTCAACACTGTTGAAAATACTTCTTTTCCAAAAGAATCTTGTCACTTTTTAAAATATAGTAAAAAATTGATATTTTTTAAATACTTACGTATAATTCCACTGGCCAAACTAGGTAAGACTTTACATGGTAGCAATCATGAGTAGGCTAACATGACAAGTGGGGTTTGGCTGTCTTATGTTTATGTCATGTTGTTAAAAATGCAATAAAATTATGCCAACTTAGTATAACTGCGAGAAAGTTCAAGTTTATCTGTTTCATGGTGACTCTGCATAATGTCATGAAATAAAATGTTCGCTTTCATTTTGTTCAGTAATTTGAGAATAAACATTTGATTCAAATTGAGTCATGATCACAATGAAAATATTACAGTGTAATTTTAAGGGACCCTGAGAAATGAAAAGAAAGCCAACACACCTGTCACTGTAAGTTGCTGCAGCAGTACCAGCTGGCTGGGCATATCTGTAGGCTGCATAGCCTCCCTGAGGAGAGACACAAGGATTTAACACCCCCTGTAATTAGGAATTAGAATTATTGCCTTTAAATTTAAGATTCAAATAAAACAGTTTACTTGGTGCTGGTCAGTATTCGATCAAACGCTCAAGACAATCCACACAAATTATTTTCTCAATACATTGTAATGAATAACAAGATGTGAATAAATCGATTTTGACTTACATATATTTCTGCCCCATAAAAGCCATCCTGGTAGACCACACTGTGAGCAGAAGATATCAGACTGTAAGCAGTTTTTCGCATTGAAAGGAAATTTTTAAAAAGAAGAATAGAATAGAATAGAATAGAATAGAATAGAATAGAATAGAATAGAATGCTTTTATTGTCATCATACACAAAGTACAACAAAATTCAAAGACAACTCCAGTGGTGCAAAATGCAAGTATAAAAAAGACAAATAAGAATATATAAATATATTTACAAAATGAGCCAGTAGGAAGTATATACAGTTAGGAATGAGCTTGGAAATAGCCAAACAGTAGAATAATTATATTGCACTGTTGAGGTAAGAACACTGTGGATATATGAGAACTCTAAATAATATAAATAAATAAAAAATTTTAAATTATATATATATGTATATATAATAATTAGAAATAGTTACAATATAATACAGTATAATATAAATAATTAATATATGATAAATAATTCAGACTAAAAGGTGATTTTCAAACCAAAGAAATATAAGCACAACATGAACATTATGTGCCTAAACATGTACTTCCCACCTGAAATAGCCACTACAGTCAGACTGATTGGTATTAAAGGATTCAGCTATGAAAACCTTCCCCGCTTCAATCCACCAGCTGCAGACTGGACTGGTCAAATTCTGGCCTATACTATCTGCAGCCTTAGCAGAAATGGACATTCTTCAGGCCAGGTAACATTTTTTTTCCCAGTCTTCAGATGTGGTGAGTCTGTGCCTGCTCCAGCCTGGAGCCCATCGTGGTCCTCTGCTGTTGCCCCCCATCCCTCCCACCCAGGTTCCATGTGTTGTGCCTTCTGAGACATTTTATTTTTCTCAGCACTGTTATGAAAGAGGAGCTGTCTGAGTTACCATAGACTTTCTGTCAGCTCCAACCATTTTGCCCATTCAGAACTGCTGGACGCTGTTTGTTTTTTGTATCATTCGCAGTAAACTGTGCTGAGTAATACTGCTGTGGTAAAAAAAAAAAAAAAAAAAAACAAAACTAGGGGATTACCAGTTTCAGAAACACACGAACCAGGCTGCCTGCCACCAGCAACCCTGCCACAGATGTCATCACTACAATCACGTTCTTTCTTAATTGTAATATTTGATGTGAACATTCACTGAAGCTCCTGATCTGTATCTGCAGGGTTTTGTGCTGCACTGCTGCTGCATGATTGGGTGATTGAATGAATTCATAAATACACAGACGTACCTAATAAAGTGCTCAGGGAGTGTAGACAACAGTGTGGATAATGGATGCATTTTTGCAGAAATTTGAATAAGATTTTCTTAGAAATATAAATGCTAAAATGAAACAGCTCTATGCAGATATAACACAACACATTCATGTTTCTCTTGTCCTGTACAGAGAAATCATCTCTTCTTGTTGCTTTTCTTTTACGGTCAAACAAAGCACAAGCCTGAGGACTTGTTTGATTGATACTTTGTAGACAAGCTAAAACACTAGTTTAGATTTCATCCAAATTCTAATTACCTTTTCACCAGCTGTTGACCAAAACAAATTTGTTTCTTTATTTTTATCTGTCTACTATTTATTGCTCAAAATAAAACATTGCAGATGATTTTATCAATTTACGTATGTTTTGGTTTTGAAGTACTTGAAGTGACAGAAAATCTATTTGTATTACCATCATACAGAAAAGTACTTATTCAGTAGCTCCATTTGGTCAGACTGCACCATTCATCCGTTATTCTTCTCCCAGCTTCCTGCATTCACACTTTACATCTGCATTTCTCTACTTCTCATTCCCTCTTTCAACGCTAGCTCTCTCTAACACATCTATTCTTCTCTCCCCCTCCATGTCTCCTGCTTCACATTCACCAGGTCTCTCACTCTCCCTGAAGCGGGCCTATTGGAGTGTGCAGGGTAGGTCGTAGCAGTCCATTCACACCCGAATAAAGAATGACACTTTAGAAAAAACAGACAAATTTGGCCATTCTGGAATCAAAGAGCAATTTTCCGCTCTATTAGAAGGTGGCCTTTTTGTTTTCCACTCCCAATTCTTCTATTGCTACATGTGCGTGTATGTGTGAATATGTATATATTTTTCTGTGCACGTGTGTGCGCGTGTGTGTGTGTGTTACCTTATGTGTTTGAGTAACGCAGTAGATTAGATTTGTTTCGTAGTAGGTTTTAGTCTTTGAGATGTGTCATATAGTGTTTATCTGATTATGAGTTTTTGTCTCAGTTGGATGTGTTCTGTCTCTCTGTGTTTGCAGGTACTCACGCTCCATAGGCAGGGATAGGTGGAGGAGGAGGTGCAGCACGGAACGTGTTGTAGACAGCACGGCCCCTCCCTCTCAAATGGGCCCCTCTATAGGCAACCGCTGCTCCAGTACTGGCGTATGGAAAGCCTGTGACTGACAGAAACATACAGACAGACAGAGAGAGAGAGAGAGAGAGAGGTGGGAAAAAGCACAGTATGTTAAAGCACTATGCTTCATATCTTTGCATAAAATCCCAGTGCAAGATTCAAACAATATGGCTGCTGTGAATCCCATTAAAACACCAAAACCAGAAAAAGAATCCTTTCATGAGATTAGAATGTCACCCTACAGTCTATGGATGTGGCTGATGTGGATTTTAAAATTACCACATGTTGTTCTTCATTATATTCACTGTAATGTATAAAAACAAACAATACCTGTATCATGTCTTTTTCGGATGTTGAGTAAAATTGTCCCAGAGCACATTTGAACTAATTCACTGGGAGACAATATCTGTTTGATCAATGATGATCAATTATTGGCTACATATATTAAGATAAAGTTGTATTTTACCATCATGGATCTCCACACTTCTTTACTTAATATATATTGATCAACTTTGCATTTAATGTACACTTAGACAGACATCAAAAGGACAATTTGTTTACATGCAACAAAGCCTAAAAGACACTGATAAATGTTGGAGTACTTAAGCTCTTTCTGAGTGTGGTTAATCTCAGAGGCCAGATTAAACTGAATATACAGACATGAAGACAAAATAAAGATGTGATAAGATTGATCGAGTTTCTGTAAAGTTCTGTAATTTTCCAATTGAAAACATTTGGACAAAAGTGATTTTAGTCGAAATGAAAAAGCTTCACACCTCAATCACAACTTGAGCACAACACATTGATCTTGGACAAGAAACTGAAAACTTGACAGGATATAACTAAATGTAAAAAGTCCTAGAGGGGCAGGAAGGTGCAGACGCCTGCATGTGGGTTTAGCTTAGTGACGGTCAACAGGGCCAGATTTAAGTGATGTGAGCAGGTTTATGGATGATTTTAAAAACACTAGTCGTTCCTTTCCCACTAAAATCTGATCAGAAACACCAAATAAAGTTAATATTTCAAGTTGGATTGTTAACTATCTTCACATTTTAGGTAATCAGAAAAGTACTGCATTATACCTTGGACGTTTATTACCAAACATGAAGCTCTAATTACTGCTTTAAAACATTCTGCACAATTAACACAATTTGTTTTAATAAAATAAATTAATATAGAGGTGATGTTAAATAATACAAACCCAGATTAAAGTCTTGCATCCTTCCCTGAATACATATTTAAAGCCACATCAACCACTGATTCCCATCTAATTCTACAGGCTACAGTTGATATAATACTTTCAGTTTGAAATTAGTGGGTTGTGATAACCAGAGAAGTATACACATTCCTGCAGAGAATGTTAACTAAAATTATAATACAAATATTTTTGGAGAGGAAAGTGTAGAAATTAAAGAAGAAGACAATTAGTCAAGTAGAGTGAAGGTGCATAATCCACTGTCATAGATTACTAAATCAACAGCCTTCACAGCTGTTTCCTCTTCTGCTAAAAATTAAATTAAGTAACTATGCCTAAAATATTTTGTAAAACTGATTTAAAGTTACTTCTAAATGTGATGCAATTACCATAACTTGTTGACTTTTCCACCAACGTGAAAAAAGTATGTCTGATTCTGACCTTTCAGAGTAAATTTGTAATAAATAATCAGACATTCACAGGTTCTGCCACTTTAGTATAGTTGCAAAAAATACTGATATGAAATGCACACAGTTTAACTGTTTAAAATCTGCTAGCATTAGTTGTTTGCTAATATACATCACTATTAATAGCTAACTTCTCCTGAACAGCGAAATAATTTTACCTAGAGAGACTCAAAAATCCAAACATTGAAGTGTCTTGATCATATAATCAACACATAATCTATGCTTTATACCCACTTGATATTATTATTTTAGCAAATCTTTTACACTGATAACCTGTAAACTAAAAACTCTACTAGGACCTATTTTAAGACTATCTATCCATACCAACTTCAAATACACTGCATCACATACCAAACATATTCAGACCTCAGTGAACGTCTTCAACAACAAAGAAAAATACAACATGCTCGAAAGTGCTCAGAGACAGAATTCCTCTGTTTCCACTCCTTTCCATCCATCTATCCCTCTCTGAATGGGGTGTTGGAGATCCTCTAACCTCTACTGTTTCTGCCTCTGCATATTCCTAACTAGTCAGATGACGGCATTAAAATGCCACACAGCCAGCCACAATCCTATGGTGATATATTCTGAGCAAAAGATCAATTTCCCCAAGTTGCCCCCACCTTCCCCCTCTTTCTTAATATCAGACATCCATATATTTATTCCTTTGTGTGTGTGCGTGTGTGTGTGTGTGTGTTTGTGCCAGAAGTTGCACTACATGTGTATGTATGCATGCAAGTGACCATGAGGATGTGTATGTGCATGTTGTTGATAGTGTGACATATACGAATGCAATCTGATGATGAGCTATGGCTTGTGCATGCTACAGCGGCGCTGTAATAATCCATGAATCATGGCAGGCCTCTGCCTGACAGCCAGCATGCCCATAAAACAAACAACATCCACTGATACACACATGCATAAAGCACTACACAGAGTACACTCCCTGGCTTCATACGTAGACATATACAGTGCATGCACGCTTTATCTGGTGTGGTGTATAAGAATTGGTTGTGATGTTAGAGTTGTGGAATGTGTAAGTGCATAAGCATCTGTGTTTGTGTATGTGTAGGCCTCACTGTGTTTAATGGGTAACAACTCAATTTTAGGAGAGTGACAGAAGACTCAGGTTTTATCATGTTTTGTCTCACTAATTGAATTTCACAATAATGTTCAGAAAAATTCCAAAACCTACATGCTATATAAGAGCAGAAAAATGACTGGAATGGCACAATGAGTTGCAATAAAAGCTGAAGTATGACAGTAATTGATGCAGAACCTCTTCAGTTGCAGACCTTACTATAGAAGACGATAGCAAAATGCAAGGCAAATTTAAAATACATCTTATGAAATGGTCTTCCATCAGATCACACTCTGTCATTTAGGCCTAGAGGGACTGCAAATGCCATATCTGAATTTGGATGAGATAAGGCTCTAAAATACTGTCGTAATTAACTATACAGAGTAGAGTAGCAATGTAAATTTAACTACATACGGAAGTTGAGCTTTTATACTGGGACAAGTTTGATCAATGGGACTGCCAATGACCTTTTACTATAAGTAGCATATGATATAATCCATTTAATATCACAGATATTAGGTATTTTGTTGATTACGTATTTATCGAATCGACCAAAACAACTGTGACTGAGATTCCATTCAAGTATCTATAAGACCTAATTTTTGAGAAACTTTCCTCTATCGTTAAAAAACAACACATTTTAACAGAATAATGAAGAAAATGAAGGAAGTTTCCTGAACCTGTAAAGTTTTAAATAATTCTTTAACTCATCCATTTTATACAAGGTGAATTTATTTAATAGTCTTTTCTTTTCTTTTCTTTTTTAACAAAGGAAGTGAATTTTTGCCTAAAAACATATGCATGTGATTTTTCAATTTCACATGAACATTTATTGCTTACACACACACACACACACACACACACACACACACGCACACAGTTTGTGATTTTCTCCAGGGGATGTATAAAATCTTTCCTTATAGCAAAGTCACAGCACAAACAATGTTGAGCAGCGTAACTAAAACCAAACCACATCCAAACCAAACAACACCAGATGATTTAGTTAGAAAAGGTGGGGTCACTCGCTGACAGTGATCTTAGCCATGGACCAATAATGGCACACCGGTATGACAAAGCAAATAGATGGCCGAATGTCATCCTTCCAACTTTCAGAATTTTCCAGCATATGTTAAACGGGTCTGAGCCGCTTGCCTTGTTACTTCCATGCCTGCATTTTGCATTTTAATCTTATTTGTTGTGTTCTGGCGGCTGGATCTGCCAAGCTCTGCATTCACTAAGTTACACACACACACACCTACACACACACACACACACACATTCCCCTGCTTTGCATATACACAGTCCAGGACACAGTCAATCAATCAGTATTACATTTCCCCCCTTGTCCTTCATGCCCATGCAGTCTATTTTACTCAGTCACCCAAACACACACACAAGCTGTGTCTCATTCAGGGCTGCATCCTTCTAAGGATCTGGTCTACAATGATGTAGACTAAACATGTAATATTAGCAAGCAGGTTATGTTGGAGCATTATATTTTTAAGTCATTTAAAAGCAGAATTTGTTAATGTTTGAGGGATGAGGCACTTACATGTTTTTGTTGCTGTTTGTTGGCACATTTTGACAGTGACTTTATCCAACTTAGTTTTGTTTTTGTTTTTTTACTCACAAAGTACACTTTTTAAATGAAAAGACATCAAGTTTGATCATCTTGACATGGAGGTAACATATTACCTACTTTGGGAAATAAAATTTTATGTTAGCATCTTCCCTCTGTGTTGTGCTATGTTTCAATCCTTGACACCTAGCAGGATGTAGACTTTGTTAAAGTTTCAATTAAATATGGTTAATAAGATAGCCGGTTTGTGGGAAACTGAGGCCAGCGAGGTCTTCCTTTATTTGAAATAACTTTGGCAACATGCAGCAATTAGATTTTCAATGAAAATGCATTTGGCAATACAAATTTGTAGTACATTAAGAACTTTAGATAAATCCAGTAGACTTTGTCAGATTTAAGCATTTAATTCAGAATGGCATGCAGTTGTGTTTGGTGGTGACCCTGCTCAGATGATGCTCTGAAAAAAATGTGAGCACAGCGAAAAAAGAGGGTCTTTATAAAGCAAGAAGGCTGGAGAGGAGGGAGAGGTGATGTGTAGAAGTGATGTGTCGAGGCTGATGTAGGAGCGATCTGGTGAGCATTGAACAGAGGCTTGAATAAATGCTGCCTTGGTTAAAAAGTGTGGTAATTGAGTGGGGTGGATTGAAATTGTGAACAAAAAAGGGTTTTGTGATTAGCACTGACTGTGTTCCTGTCTGAACTTCCGCAAAGCTCCATTTATTGC